GACATCCGCGGCATCATCACCTTTGCCCGGGATCACAATCTTCTTATCATGGCTGATGAGGTCTATCAGGAGAACATCTACACTGAGAGGAAGTTCTACTCGTTCAAGAAGATCCTCCGAGACCTCCAGAAGGAGAACCCTGGCAAGTTTGACTTGGTCCAGCTGGTCAGCTTCCACTCTACCTCTAAGGGTCTCCTTGGTGAGTGCGGTCAGCGTGGTGGTTACATGGAACTTGTTGGCTTCGATGAGCCCACTATCGCTCAGTTCAACAAGGTTGCAGCCTCTTGTCTTTCCTCTAACACTTTGGGTCAGATCTTCGTCGGCCTTATGTGCACTCCTCCCCCCGAGAACGGCCCCAGCTATCCTCTATTCAAGCAGGAGCGTCAGAACATCTACGATGGTCTTAAGAGAAGGGCCGAGGCCATCTCTCAGGAGTTCAACAAGATCGAGGGTATGAGTTGCCAACGTGTCCAGGGTGCCATGTACGCCTTCGTCAACATCGAGCTCCCCAAGAAGGCTACTGAGGCTGCCAAGGTCCGTGGCTTCGCCAGTGCTGATGTTATGTACTGCCTCGATTTGGTCGAGCAGACTGGCATCGTGTGTGTCCCTGGTAACGGCTTCAAGGAGGTTGAGGGTACCAACCATTTCAGGATTACCATCCTTCCTCCTGATGATATGATGAAGGAGATGATCGGTAAGCTCGCCGACTTCCATAAGAACTTCCTCGCTAAGTACCATTAGATGGTGTAAGTCGATATATCATTAACGAGGTTATGCTTCTACTACTACTATCATGATTATGTCACCATGGTTGATTCTTATATAGTGATAATCACTGAATGCCTCGGGAGATCTTCCTAATCCTCCGAGGAAGTACTATCATTGTCTACTCCCGACAATAGCACAGAGAACAGATGATAATTATTCAACTGTTCAAGTGTGCCGTCGGTTTGTGTACTAGTTTCATTCGCAAATAGAGTCGTTCGACGCTCGTTTCCAACACTGTTCTGTAGCGTTCGTCAATCGCGAGGTCTTCTCCAGAGATAAAAG